ATTGTAGAAAATTGGAACAAAAACTCACAAGGGCTTCCATGCATAGTGGTCACACTCACAAGGGCTTCCATGCACAGTGGTCACACTCACAAGGGCTCATGTACACTGTGGTAACACTCATAATGGATCCTGCGCATAGTGCTAACACTCACAAGTGCTCCTGTACACAATGGTCACAAACAAGGGATCCTGCACACAGTGGTCACAGAATTTGCAGGTGGTGCAGGTAATACTAAGCCTGAAAAATTGTATACCTGAAGATTAAACCAAGACACATTTTAAGACCAATGAAATTTGTTGGCATATTTTATGAATGTTTTGTTTAAACAAAAGGAGGTAACCATCTAAGGTTCAGGGGGAGTAGAGATGAGGTTTGGGTTCATGGCTACCATGGATTTATGGCCAAATCCTCAGGATTTGAGAATTTCTCAAGTCATGAAGTTTGCCACCAGAAATAAGGAACTAACCACAAAGCAGTGCAAGGCCTTACCATGTAATTTAAGTCAATGTAAAATTGTTTTTTAATGTTGGCGTTGGTATATGTCCTCTATGGCAGTGCCTGGCTTCCCATTTTTTTTAAATTAGCTTGATTATTAGCCCTACAAATGGCCAGAATTTTTCTTTTTTATTCTTTCCCCCTCTGTTTTCACTTGGTGGTCTGGCCAGTAACACTCCTCCTGTATTAGAGTTCCCCCACTCTGGATGAAAGGACACAGGGGACACCTTTGGATAGCAGCATTGTCAGTCTGGTATAAGGAGAGTGTTAGATGTACTACCAGATTTAAATACATTAACAAATTGAAGCCAAACTCCAGCTAACACTTTATAAGCAGTTACAGAAAACAGTTTTTGTCTTTTGGGATACAGGATTTACATAACTAAATAAAAGCTGATCATTGTAAGCAACCCTGTGACCGATAAATGGTGTGTCTCATTTTATAACTGATACATTCTGCTGTAGAGCTTATTCTTTTGAAAAATTACAGACTTGCTGGCTGTATTTTCAGGTAAAAATAGAAGAAAGAGGGCCTAAAAAAAGAAAATGAACGTAACTATCATATCTAAGAAAATGGTAAGCTGCAATATAACAAATGTTTGTTTTTTTAGTTTAATACTAAATTAACAAAAAGATTTGCTTATCATAGACATTAAAGAGGTTTGATGTGAGGTTTGCAAACATCAAGGTAGATTTGTGAAGCTATTTGTGAAGCAATTTGTAAACTATTTTTCATTTTCCTTCCACTTCACAATTATGTACCACTTTGTGTTGGTCTATCACATAAAAACTCAATAAAATACATTTACGTTTTTGGTTGTAACATGACTAAATGTGAAAAATTTCAAGGGGTATGAATACTTTTTCAAGGCACTGTACCAGATTTTTTTTTTGTTTTTAACATTTTGTAATGCTGGTGTTAGTACATGTCCCCCAAGGCAGTGCCTGGCTTCCCATTTTCTTTTTTACAATAGCGTGATTATTAGCCTTACAAATAGCCAGAATTTAACAAGATTTGGTCCTCATAGAGGTTCACTGCTAAGCTTGCAAACTTCAAACTTCAATCCAGATTCTCCAAACTGTTTGCGATCCAAGCTAAGGCATGTTTGCTCATTGCTATGGGTGAGATAAAACCAACATCACTGGCACTCCTAGCAAGGGGACTTCCCAAGGCCAGGGTCCCAATTCACGATAGAAACAGCTCGGCATTTACAGAACAAGTAGATTATTAGAGACACTTTTTTTTTGGGAGACGGAAGATTGTTCATTATTAAAAAAGAAGCAGTGTTAAAGATCTATGTTCTCTATTAGATAATGAACAAACACAAACCAAGCACAGGATCTGTTTGGTTTCATGGATATTAAAGGAAGAAAAAAAGTCTTTGGCACTCAGCAGCTTCATTTATCTTTGGCATTACACAAACATTCAATACCTGGACTTAGAGGCATGAGGCCAAAATACAGAATGTTCTTGAGGAAAAACCAGGGGATTTGTGCTCTTGCAAAGGGGAGTAATAAAACAAGTGGAGCTCCAGCGGACCGGGCCAGCTAGTGAAATATGACAAAACTATTACAATGTCAACTTTGTTAAGAATTGTTGAGAGTCCGGCAAGCAATGGGCTGGTAGATTTAGAACGGATTCAGACATAGGCAGGCACAAGGAGTATTTTATGCTGTAGGAAAAAGAGCAAAACATTTTTGTGGCTCAGATATATATGACCACATTTTCTGTATTTATAAATGAAATATTTTAAATGATGGACTAAAGAAAGTCTAAACAGTGAAGTATTCCTATTTTTTTCCCTCTTGCTAAAAGTACACAACAGAGCCACATAATGTTGGAATAATGTTTTCAGAGCGCATTGCTAAAGAATCAATCAGTGATAGTTCTGGAGGATGCTAAGGAGTTAAAATGACACTACACTCTGGTTCATTTTACAAAAGATTTACTAAAGATTTTTGTTTTTTTAACACAACACAAGAACATGGTACAAAGATGTAATAGCTTGGACAGGACATAAGCCAAGTGCTCATAAAAAACGATACTGAGGAAAGGGAGGTCATACTAATAACAATGTTAAAAATACATGATACAATAGATCTGCTAAATTTCCAGTAAAAAGTATTAGCCCCTCTTCGCCTGGCCTGCTCCTGCCAATGGCAATAGTGACCTCCAAATGGGGAAAAGTAGTGCTGATTAAGCCAAAAGGCAGTAAAAAGGACTAGGGAGACTTGGGGGTAAAAGAAGAGATACGGGGGTAGAAAGGAAGAAAGAAGGGATGGAGACTAACCTGGAAGGGGAGGGAAGAAATGGAGTAAGAAGAAGAAGGGGAGAAATGAGCAGGGGGAGAAGGGAGGGGAAGGTCCTGCAGGATCCTGTCCTCTATGTGCAGTAAAGATCCTTGGAGGAACCTATCAGGCTGAAAGCAAGGTGAGAACAAGGTTCAAGCTGTCATTATATGCAATCCACAAGTCCCAGACCTTCAACAACTTGGCGTGGGTGTCATTCAGTATAGAAGTGAGCATCTCATGTACCATAGTCCCCTGAGCCATTTTTTTACTTCAGCAAGAGTAAGGAACTGATTTTGATAAGCTTTGGCCAACGTCTGATGTGCCGCCAGAAAAACAAAGTTCACCAGAAAAACAAAGGACACCAGTAAAGAGAAAATTATATTCTATGGTTTTGCTGCTGTAACTTGACTTCCTGTTAGAAGGTGACTACACTCGTTCTCCTTGGTCCCACAGTATGTTGGAATGTAGCCATCTTTTGCTCACTCCTGAGATGGACTATGGGCTGGATTTGTAGTGTGCATAGAGCTGTGCACATGACCACATCTAATGTGCCCTGCTTTTTTTCAAACAATCAGAAGTGAGGAGAAAAGCAGTGATTCAGGAGCTCAGGGGGGGATGTTATAAGGAGGCAGAAAACACAGTAAGAAACAATTTAACAAAATATATAAAATAATCCACTAAATAATGGATGTGTATGGATTATTTTTGGAGAATAAGGATATTGACTAGGGTTCATTTAAAGTGTAAGTCTAGCCAAAACTTTTTCTTTAGCTTTGGACAAAATAGGAAAGTGTTAGAACCCCTGTCAGGGTTTTATTGCTATCTGGGGTTCCTTAAGAGAGATTTTTCCTCTTTTTCTGTCCTGTTGACAACAGAAAGTAAGGGAAGTGACAAAAAAATCTGCAAAAACAGCAATGCATACAGCAATAAAATGCTTTTTCTGTTAAGTCTTGATAGTCTAAAACCCTAGTCAAGGTTTTATTGTTGTCTGTGTCTATGTACATTTGTCCTCACTTCGTGTCTGCTGAAACCATTGTCATTGTGACAGGAAGTGAGAGCAAATCCCTTTAAAGTGGAACTTTACTGTAGGCTTCACAATGAAAATGGGCAGACAGGCAAACTTTATAATACAAAAGAGACATCAGTGAGCACAGCTCACTGTACAAATTTGACAATGGCGAATCTGATAGAACTCTCGAGCATGCGTAGGAGTGATGTCATCTCAGCCCAGCCAATGTCAGGGGTCGGCGATTGAGACCCAATCAGTCAGTAGTAATTTCCGAGTACATTCATTCGCTGAATTCAAGGTGACTATAGTTCAGCTTTAAGGAAGCCCAACATTGCAGCAAAAATCCCATGTGTTCTAATCCTTTTCCTTATGTGGATTGGCCTTGATATACACTTTACACCACGGACAATTTCTTATAACTTAAATTCCTGAGTCTACACACTTTGCCTATTATGTTGGGTTCCCCCTCTCCCTGTTGGATTTTTTTATTTATTTTATATTATAGAGAATGTGACAGAAGAAGCTAAAATACAGGATGGAGTATTGAAGCAGGAAGATCTCATTGTTGTATTAAAAAAAATATAAGAAAGTTGGAAGTGACTCACTTTACTAGGTCTACCACTAGCTAAAATATGAAAAAAACACTCATGCAAAAAGATTTATATGCCATAGACGGAGAATTTTTTAAAATAAATATCACTTTATTTAAATATATATATATTTTACATGCGCAAATAATTGACTTGAGATTGCATAATTCTAATGGCCAGTAACTTCTGTCTGAGAAACCATACAGATAAGAGAGGTCTTTTAAAGGAAAGTTGCACCTAAATAAAAGTGAATAGAACATACCACATATACGGTATCTTTCGCTCCATAAGACGCACTATTTCCCCCAAAAAATGGGGGGAAATGTCTGTGTGTCTTATGGAGCAAATTTGGAGCGGCTGGCCCGGTATTTCCCCCATCGCCGGCACCGTGTTAGAATACCGGGTTGGCCGCTAGGCTGTACTGTGTGTCCTGATTCCATCGGCTGTCTTCTCTCCCCGGCATCTTCATTGTGGGCACCCGGCTGTGACAACTTGCGGCTTCACAGCCAGGTGCCCACTGCACATGCGCAAGAAGCGCTGCGCTTTGTGAATGGCCCTGTAGTCTTGTGAGACCTGTCATGTGTCCCAGAAGACTATGGGGAGGAAGGGGGGAGGTCAACTTTGCGGAAGTTAGAGCGGGTACCTGTCAAATTTGGGTAGATGCCCCTCCCCAAAGGTCTGCAGTCTCTGGTCATCTCCTGTAGTATGTCCGCAGTCTCTGGTCATCTCCTGTACTGTGTCCGCAGTCTCTGGTCATCTCCTGTACTGTGTCTGTAGTCTCTGGTCATATCCTGTACAATGATCGCAGTCTCTGGTCATCTCCTGTATTATGTTCGCAGTCTCTGGTCATCTCCTGTACTGTGTCCGCAGTCTCTGGTCATCTACTGTACTGTGTCTGTAGTCTCTGGTCATATCCTGTACAATGATCGCAGTCTCTGGTCATCTCCTGTACTATGTCCGCAGTCTCTGGTCATCTCCTGTAGTATGTCCACAGTCTCTGGTCATCTCCTGTAGTATGTCCACAGTCTCTGGTCATATCCTGTACTATGATCGCGGTCTCTGGTGATCTCCTGTATTATATCCGCAGTCTCTGGTCATCTCCTGTACTATGATCGCAGTCTCTGGTCATCTCCTGTTGTCAGCAATCTAGGAATGACCAGAAAGGTGTGGACTGACACAGGGAAACGCTGGCTTCAGGTATAGTATAATAATACAGTTTATTATTAGCCACCCAGATATATATGCATATAAACGCACAGTGAACAAACTAACCTTCCACTAATCTTAGTAGGTGCAGGAACACAGGCGTAGTCAGGGCTGGAGAGGTGGAATGGCCAGGCCGGCCGTAGGGTTCTGTAACGACTGCCTGGTGGTACCTCTAGTGGTCCTCAGGGCAGGATTCCCCAGGGCGCGGAGTCTAAGTCCCAGTCTGCTTATTCACCAGGGCCCCTGATGGTGGGGATGGACTTGGAGCAGACAGGAACCAGGTCGCGGCCCCTGAGTACACCTGCTAGTGGTAGAGGAATCCGCCAGAGGTATGCGCAGGTAGAAAGCCTGATGTGAAGAGGCAGAAGGTGTGAGCAGGGACGGCTGGATCCGTGCAGGATGGATGGATGGCAGAGTAGTTAGCGTGGTCAGACAGGCCAGGTCAGCAATGTGCGGGCAGCAAGGTACCAAAGGAGCAGGCAGAGAATGGTCAGGGTAACAAGCTGGGTTCAGTAACTCACGGGCAGCGCGGTACAAAGGATCAGGCAGAGAATGGTCAGGGTCACAAGCCGGGTTCAACAGGAGACGATCAGCAGAGGTCAGGATCAAGCAGGGTCAGCAACGAGGCAGGAACACAAGATACCAGGTACAGGGGCTCATGGGAAAACATACACCAAGGCCCAGATCACAGGCCTGGTCATCCCTTAAATACACCTTCTGCAATCAGCCCCAGGTTTGGCTGATTGCAGAAGTGAGCTTCTGGCTGCTGAGAGCACCCGCTGGTCAGCTCTGGTACTGCAGCCCACACGGCAGGTGAGTCCCACCACCAGTGCTGAGTCCATTCCTGACACCTGTACTGTGTCCGGAGTCTCTGGTCATCTCCTGTACTGTGTCCGCAGTCTCTGGTCATCTCCTGTACTATGTCCGCAGTCTCTGGTCATCTCCTGTACCATGTCTGCAGTCTCTGGTCATCTCCTGTACTGTGCCCGCTGTCTCTGGTCATCTCCTGTACCATGTCTGCAGTCTCTGGTCATCTCCTGTACTGTGTCCGCAGTCTCTGGTCATCTCCTTTACCATGTCTGCAGTCTCTGGTCATCTCCTGTACTATATCTGCAGTCTCTGGTCATTTCCTCTTTAACCCTTTGAGGACCGTAAGGTTTTGGAATGCCAAAATAATATTTTTTTTTGTTTTTAAAGTTCGTACACTTCAGTTGCTGTAACTAAGCCATTTCATGAAATAATTGGCAAAAAGCTAGATCCATTTGTTGTTTGTTGAGAAGAACTAATATTTTGACTCAAACCAAAAAAAAAAAGAGTTTTAAGTTCTTAATCAGATGATACACGCAATTACAAACATGGGACAAATACGTCCCTTGGTCCTCAAAGGGTTAAAGCTAAACTCCAGGCCAGCTATTCTCAAGCTGGGTTCCGTGGGACCCCAGGGTTACTCAAAAGGTTGCTAAGGGTTCCTTGAGCTGTAACTGATTGACTTCCCATTGGATGGTGTCTTCATAGTTCTAGGATCAACACCACTTGGCAAAGTCGGAAGCATGGCAAGCCTGATCTTTTTAGCTATATAAACAATTAAATTGTGTTGCACTGCTGTTAATGCAAGTTAATCACCTTACATATATACAGTTCATAAATTCAAATCAATAAACATGTGAGACCATATACAGTATATATATATATATATATATATATATATATATATATATACACATACAATGTCTCTTGCAGTATGCAGCGTACCAATCAACATCCACAAAGTGCAAATTTAAATCTTCCAGTGGGTAATAATATGAAGACACACTTCTGTGATCCTTCTGCTTGTAAGCAAACCTGCTTCCCCGGAGCTGTTAAATAAACTATCAGTGCACAACCATACTCGCATATCTGAAATGGACCCTCACCTTAGGGTGTTGACCTATTAAAAAAAAAACAGGTCAAACTAGGCTTTTCAAGGGAAGTATCTGGTGCTGGTCTTTTACCTATTGGACTTCACCTTTGTCTGTCCCACCGAGACACGATGTCAACTGTGAAGTAGTGGCCATCTCTTTGGATTCTCAATTCTGCCACCTGGCCTGGACAAATACCCCTACAAAGTACCATCCTGCGAACTAGCAGCACTGGGATCCCATAACAGGCAGCGAGGAGAGGGAAACCTGATCAGATTCTGAGATATCCATGTAAACACTCAGGGAAGGGGAAGAGCCATTAGCTGCCTGTAAAGGTGGCATTCTGATGACTACTGTAAGGAGGGCATTTTTCCCACTCATCACTAAATTGGGCTTGATGTTTGAGTCGAACGTAAGTTTAACTCGAACATCGGCACTTCCTGTGCTCAGCAAACACACAAACGGTAAGGGCATTCACCCCACAGTGCACAGTGCGCCCTGACAGGTCAGGAGCAATGCTTTGGCCAATCACACCGCATGATGATGTTATGTCACTGGATTGCCCCACCCCTTAGATATTTAAGAACTTTCAGGCCAGCACAGCTGTCAGGCGGCAGACGCCAGCGTTGAGAGTGGAGCATTTTTTTATTGTTTATGTTTTTGGGGTCGGCAGTGGTGGCAAGCATTGCGATTGACGTTGGATCAACTTGGGGAGGCATTTTTTTTTTTTTATTTTTGTTTTTAATAAAGGACTCAAAGACTGTCTTTTGTAATTTTTTAAACTACACTTTATGTGAATGAGTAGCTGTACCATGTACCCCATACTCATTCACATGGGGGGGGGGGCCGGGATCTGGGGGCCCCCTAGTTAAAGGGGACTTCCAGATTCCGATAAGCCCCCCACCCACAGATCCCCACAACAACCAGCCACGGTTGTGGGGAGGCTCTTGATCCCTTCAACATTGGGACAACCCCCCCCCCCCCACCATGTTGAGGGCATGTGGCCTGGTTTGGTTCAGGAGGTGGTGTGCCCCCCTTCCTGACCTGCCAGGCTGTGTGCTCGGATAAGGGTCTGGTAAGGATTTTAGAGGGGATCCCCACGCCATTTTTTTAAAACAATATTCAAAATATATACCAGACCCAAAGGGCTTGGTATGGATGGGGGGGACCCCACACTTTTTTTTGGTAATTTTTTAATTGTCGGAAATTCTTTTTACATTCAGCTGTCAGTGGGGAGATATTAAAGAATGTTTTTACTACTAAAATACTGCATGACTTAATAATATAACTCATGCAGTATTTTAGTAGCTGTGCGGTGTCTTACTGCATACTCGGATGCTTTAAGATACCACTTATGATTTGTCCTGGTTCGAAGATCGTGGTCAAACGTTCGTTTTAATGTTTGGCTGCAAACTGAACAGAGGGATGTTCAGCCCATCACTACTCACCACCACTGTACGGGTTTCATTCATCCTACTGCCCACTACTTTAAGAGTTTCATTCATCCTACTGACCACCACTGTAAGGATTTTGTTCTTCCCACTGACCACCACTGTAAGGGTTTTATTCCTCCCACTGACCACTGCTGTAGCAGTTTCATTCTTCCTATTGACCACCTTTGTAAGAGTTTCATTCCTCCCACTGACCACCACTGTAAGTGTTTCATTCTTCCTCACTGATCACCACTTTAAAGATTTCATTCTTACCACTGACCACCATGGTAAAGGTTTTATTCTTCCCACTAACCACCACTTTAAAGTGGGTTCTAAAGGATTTCATTCTTCTCGCTGACCACCACAGTAAGGGTTTCAGACTTCCCACTGACCATTGCTTTAAAGGTTTATTACTTTCCCACTGACAACCGCTGTAAAGGTTTAATTCTTCCTACTGACCACCACTTTGAGGACTTCATTCTTCCCACTGACCACCATGATAAGAGATTCATTCTCCCCATTAACCACCTCTTTAAAGTGATTCTAAGCCCAAAATAGTTTTTCCCTCAATGCATTCCTTGCATTAAGGTAAAAAAACCTTTTTTTTATGTTTCTGTCCTCCCCCTTCCCTGTGTAAAGAGAGAGTAGAAGACGTCCAGCACTGTGCACGAGTGCATCACTTCTCCCCTTCCTTCCTCTTTACACAGGGAGTTGAACTGCAGCAGGATCCATTTGCTCCTGCTGATGTTGATCAAATGCAATAAGGAGGACATGGGGGCTGGGCTAAGCCCTGCTGTGTGTGTCTATGAGAGCTCCATATACGCACACAGATCAGCAGCGAGCATGCACAGTGTGCCCCCTTAGTAAGCGGCTTACTATGGAGGCATATGAACAAGAGGAGGAATCAAGATCGCCGGCGAGGAAACCCCATAAGAGGAGGTTTGGGGCTATTCTGTGCAATACCATTACACAAAGTAGGTGAGTATAACATGTTTGTTATTTTAATTTTAAAAAAATTACCTTTAAGTAACACTTTAAGGGTTTCATTCTTCTCACTGACCAACACTGTAAGAGTTTCATTCTTTCTACTGACCACCTCTTTAAGGGTTTCATTCTTCTCACTGACTAGCACTGTAAGAGTTTCATTCTTTCTACTGACCACCTCTTTAAGGGTTTCATTCTTCTCACTGACTAGCACTGTAAGAGTTTCATTCTTTCTACTGACCACCTCTTAAAGGGTTTCATTCTTCGTACTGGCGACCACTGTAAGGGATTTATTCTTCCTACTGATCACAAGTGTAAGAGGCATTTTTTTCCCTTGCTTCCATTGATTTGGTTTTAATAAGTGTTTCCTGAGACCTGAAAACTATCTTAGGTGTTCGTTTGTGGTAAGAAGGTTGAGAAATACTACTCTAGGCAGCTGTAAAATAAGGAAATTAATACAGCTCTAAAATCATCAATACATCTAAAAGTTTTTTAATGTAATCAGTGTACAGCAGAGCTTGCGTGTGAGAGGAAGAAGTAGTACAAAGAGCCAATCAATTCACATGCTGATAAGAAGCATGCTGATAGGAGGAGAGAGATGCGTGTCCGAGAGATTAGGTCATCACCG